GCCTGCACGCGGGCCCCTTATATAGCGACGGCCGGCCGGCCGAAGATCGGCGAAAATTTCCGAACTTTACCGATTACTTTAAAAGTTACTTTTTCGCTGTAATAACTAATAATTTATTAACTTTTTTGACTTTTATCGTTAATATATATTACAAACTATTTGTGATCAATAATTTTAATTTGCTATTAACGATAAATTTATTAATTTATTAGCTTTTTGTAAATTACGAATAAATTGTAACACCAATACGTTGTTTGTTTAAGTAGCAGCTAATAATTTATTAACTTTCTTTACTTTTATCGTTAATATAGGTTGCAAAATATTTGTTATTGACAATAAATGTAGTAATTTATTAACTTTTTGCTAATTATAGATACATTTTCACGCAAATTCGTTATATATACTAGTAATAGCCTATAATTTAGTAATTTTTCCACTTGTGTTATAAATTTACGTTGTGACCAATTTGTTATTAGAAATAATTGTAATAATTTTTACACTTTTGCAAATTATAGTTACATTTAAACATTAGTATGATATTGTACAAGTAATAACCAATGAATTAAATTCTTTTCTTGTATTATAAATTTACGCTATGAACAATTTATTATTAATAAGAAATTGGATTATTTATACATTTTTATGAACTATAACTGTATTTGAATGACGTCATTGCCAAGAATTCCGTCCACTTATCTCTCGCAGCCTCAAAAATCGTCAAATGTTTAACTGAAACATCGAAAATTTACAAAAGATAGGCAATATCTTAAACTTTGTGCGTAGCTCTTAGCTTGGTATCGTTTTCCAAAAATTATTCTTTGGGAAACGATACCAATTACCAGGTCTCACCACGTGGAGGTGGCTACGCAACGAGACCCGACATGCGCCCTAATGGCGCAACCTACTGGTGCTATCCGTATCAAAAGTAGCCTAATCTAACTTGGAGCGAATTAAGTTAAACTCTACTGACTCTACTGACACTTTACAAAATATCGTGTGTTACAAAAGGGGTTTCGGTTCGGTATACTACAACTCTATTTTCGCAACATTAAAATATTTAAACAGAGATATAACTAGGGAATGAAATATAAAAGACGCGAGCAAGTGAAAAATCGCGACGCGCCCGAACGAGATCGCGATTATTCGAAAGACCGACTAGCCTACGAGACGTACTCTCGTGTACAAGACAACTTCATGCCTCGGCACCCTTCCGATCGGGCCTAGTTCAAGTTCAGTCACTGCCATACTCGTCAAGACTTACACGTGGACCAAGGTTAGTCCCCGAACCAGTGAAACTTCCAGAGTCGATGCGAGGGTCCAGCGGGGCCTTGCAAGCCAGACAGACACTTCGTGTCCCTGCCCCAAGGGGTAGAACTTAATCATCCCAAGTGGTCTGACCGTAGACACTATGCCCGTCCAGCTGCAGGCCCATGCCCCAGTCGCGTACGACCAGGGTGCTGGACCCCCGCATCGAGTCCAGAGGAAACAGAGACCCGAGGGCCACCCTGGAACTCGATGCTTGACGAGGTTGACAGTGGCTGGAAATGAGTGTCGGAGACGAGTCGTGAGGATGACTTATGAGACGCGAAGTTGTCGAGTACAGGGGAGTACGTCGCGCAGGCTAGTCGGGACTTAAGAACGATCGCGATTATCGCGAGAACAATTATGTTCTATTTGGTAAACGAGAGGGATAAAAGGAAGATAGAGAATTATATTTCGCTCCAAGTTAGGTAGGTTACCCTTGTGCGAATAGCACGCACATGAGACTTAGTCTAGGAGTCTATCTTATGACTACTTAAAAATAAACTTACGCATCATCCATCGATATGTCCCAAATGAAGCCTTGAGAAAACTTGAGAATCTTGAGAAACCTAAAAGCTAAAACAGAATATATTATTGTTAATGTGAATCTGAAAGAAAATGGTTTAATACGAGGAAAGAAAACGGAAACCAAATGAAACGAGCAACCCAACGGTGTGATATAAAGAAACGATCGAGTATTGTACGAAATACTCGAACGCTCTAACGAAAACAAATGGAATGGAAGACGTAAAATATGTGAGAGGAAAGTTAATTAAAACCTGCAGAAAAATTAATTAATACCTGAAAATAAAACAAAAATTAAAACCTAAGAGAAGATAAATTAAACCTGAAAATAAAAATTATTAACAAACCAACGGTGAGACATGAACGAAAATTAATTATTATGAACCCAACGATGAAACATAAGCAACCCAACGATGAGATATAAACAACTCAACGATGAGACATAAAGAAACCAACGACGAAACATTCGAATATTATACGAAATATTCGAATGTTCAAATATAAATAAATATAAACGAAAGATAATCTCTGAAATAAAAAAAAAAAAATTAAAACCTGAAAGAAAAGAATAATTAATATCTGAAAAGAAAAAAAAATAATTAGTAAATTGTTTAATGGGGTGGGGTGAGGTTGGGGTAGCCATCCCCAACCTTACTTCGGATCCCCACCCCTCGCGCACTACGAAAATTTAGATACTACACTTTCGAAGTCGAACCGACAAATGAGGTACGCTGCGTCGCGTCGCCCTTTATATAGCCTCCGATCGGTCGAGCCCCCCACTCCGATCGGAAATTTTCGAACTTTGCCGATTTTATTAATTATTATTTTTCCGCTCTAACAGCCAATAATTTAACAATTTTTTTACTGTTATGAAAAATTTACGTTGCAAATAATTTGTTAATAACAATATTAATTTCTTATTAACAATCAGTGTGATAATTAATAAACTTTTTGTAGATTGTAGTTATATTTTTACACAAGCATATCATTGTTTCAAGTAATAGCCCAGTAATTTATTAATTTTTGCACTTTTATTATAAATTTACGCGGTGAATAATTTGTTAATGACGACATTCTTTTATTATTAATAATAAATTTGATAATTTGTAAACGTGTTTTATAAACTATAACTGTAATCGCTCTCCCATAAGGTAAATTTCTGATACGTATATGTATATGAAAATATTTTTATCTCCGCTATGTCTTTGGTTAAAATGAAGTACTATACAAAAAATAAAAACGTTCGAAGATTCGTTCTCACCTTAAAAGTTAGGTGGCAGATTATTTTTTAACTAGTTTATATTATAAATACATTCGTATTTATGTATAGAATAACGAAACTGTTCCGAATTACACGTGATTTAAAGTAATTTCCTATAATTCATATATAATCATGTACGTATAATACATATAAAAAATAAGATCTCCTTGACGATGATTTTGGTGTCGATTACCCACGACTACGACCCTGATAAATGTGCGAGCAATGGCTGCGTAGTGACAAAACCCCGCTTACGTATTGCCAATTAGTACTTTACCGTCCTGTGATCATTGAAGATCGTCCTAATATCGTTTCTGCATGGTTTCTTCTTTAGAAAATTCTACAGTATACGATACTGTGTATAAAGAATCGCGTGGCATAAAGAATTATCGTAAAAATACAAGAACAGAAATAGAAAGTATGCTCTGAGGCTTATGTTTAAACTTTGGTGAGCAATTACGATTATTCGAAAGTACAAATAAATGCAATTAGGGACATTGATATACACGGGATACTCTCGCTCAACTTGCAAGACAATAGCGAACCTCCTAACGTTCTTACTTTTTATATATTACTTTCTTGTAGCCAAAAATTTCTCGGAAACCAAGGATGATTTTATTAGCAATTTCGGTTACCGATTCTTATTCGGGAGAGTAAAATGTACGAGAGTGACCTAATGGATATTACAGATTAGAGAGAAAGTTAAAATTTGTTGGACAGTGTAATGGAGAGGTGCAAGCTCGGGGCTGGCTCGAAGTAGGTAATCGAAACGCGGATGAAGGATGAATCGAGAGGTCGGGAGAAGAAAAGGAGGAACACGAGCCGTGTCCGAAAACGCGCGGTGGCCTTGTCCCGGTAACTGCGTGCTGGCTCGAAAACCATGCGCAAATTTATCGAAGGTTATAAAAGTGAGGCAGGCCGGAGCGGCGTACCGGAAACATTACGTATGCGCGATTTGTCAAAAGGAAACTTAAATAGTTATCGAAGAAATCGACGACTTTAGGCTCCCCTTGAAAAGCCACCCCCTGTTTTTCCGAACCAACGGAAAATCCGTCCCTTCTGCCTCGTACGCGTTCGATACACCGGTATAAGCGGTTCTTCGTCCGATTGTCGCCGCGGAAATGTCGCGTGATTCTTTCGCGTTTTCGCAGGAGTGCTCCGTTTCGCGAAATCCGGCGAGTAGCGGAGAAAATTTCATCCCTTTCCGGGTCATCGATCGTTCTTTAACGCGATATAAATTTCCGAGGGAAAAGCCGTAAACGCGCATCCGATAACGACCATCCGTAAATCTGGAACGTGGTTATTTTTTCGGCGGCCTACAAACCAAAGAAACGGGCCACGCGCGTTCGATTTCAGCTCGTCTTTTACGGCACGTTTATTTTCCTCCAAACTGTCCATCCGATTTCTTCCTTTTTTCCGCTATTTTTTTCCCTCTCCGAGCCCCGGTCGCATCGATCGTCCCGGATATGCTTTCTTCCGCTTCGAGTAGATTCCATACCATTCCATTCCATTCCATTCGATTGGATTCGACGTAACGACGAAACGAGAATAATTAGTTAACCGAGACACCGCGTTTAATTCTCTCGTCGGCATCGACTCGTTTCTCCGATCGCGTTCAAAGATCGAACTTGCCGTTTCCAAGGGCATTTCCGTCGGTATCTTCGTCGATACCGACGTCCACGCAAACTTTCGCCGAAGCCCCTTTGCCAGCCGGCAAACGGATTGCGAATCTCTAACAAGAGCACTAGCTGGCTCGGCTCCGAACCAACTGCAAACCGAGAAAAGCGATATTATACTTCTCGCTCCGCCTTTCTGCTTTTCCCCTCTGTTTGCCGAACACTTTCCGCCAACCTTTGCTTCTCGTTACACCCGCCACTCGATTAAAACCGTTTTTCCCTCGTTTCTGTTTCAGTTACCGAGAAGGAGATTCGACAATGGTGAGTGGCCGGGAACGATGGTTCCACCGTCTGATTTAGGACGAGATCGGATGGTTTCGCCGAGAAATCTCGACCTCGATCGGTCCGACGAGATCGTGCGCAACGGACAACGGGAAAGGATCGCGTTCGGTGCTTTGCTATACCATCGATCGAATTAAACGGATCGAAATACTATTGATTTCCGTTGGATTATCTTTTAATCGCGTTGGAAGATAATTTCCACGCGCTCGCGTGACCGATGGTTCGATCAGAGGCGCGCGCGAGCGCCCAGGAAATCGCGCAACTGTCGGCAGTTCCGTTCGTTCGGATTCGTGGCTTCGTTGTCTATCCGGTTATTCGCGGTAACGTTTTATCAATTTGCTCGTTCGTTCGTTCGTTCGTTCGTAGAATATGAAATTGAAATTGGAAGGGAAGCGAGTTACAACGCGAGTAAGAATAGATTCGATAACTCTGGCGACTGTTTGTTTAGGCACAAAGGATTCCTGAAAGACTGCCCCGATGGCTTGCTGACGGAACAGGTATGACCTCCTTTCGGCTGGCACGTTAATTAAACGAAAATCGATAGGCACGCGAAGATAAGGGGAAGTTTGAAGATAAGAGTGCCTGTTGCGTGATTTCAGGGCTTCATAAAGATCTACAAGCAGTTCTTTCCACAAGGCGATCCATCGAAATTCGCCTCGCTGGTTTTCAGGGTGTTCGACGAAAACAGCGTAAGTCTCGCAACGTTTTTTTTAATCCGGACAACTTCGTATTCCCGTTCGAGTCCCATCCACGATTCGGAATATTAAACGGCACGTCATTTTTCCAACCCCGGCTTATTCCTCGCGAATAGGACATCGAGAATCGGGGCGAAGACGTATCGTCGTCCTTTAACATAATCGCAACGTCGATTTCCCATAGTTCCTACGTTCCCATTTTTTCCGCGATACCGCTTTAAGCAATTCCGGAAGGGGAGGAATAGATATCAATCGAGACGCAAAGACGTCTCTGGCCGGAGAAAAGCGGTGTTTCAAGCCCTTTCGCGATACCTCTGTTCTCGTATTTCCCATCCAAACGATTTTATTTCCCGGATATTCCCGGCTTTCGTATTTCCCATTAGTCGCGATTTCCCGTTAGTTCCGATGTTCCCTACCTTAAACGTACGCGACTATGCCGCTGTCTCCTTAATTTCGACCCTCTACTACTTGCCGAGCGCTCTACTCCACCATTTCTCCTTTCCACCGTGTAAATTGTATATTTCTTGTTTTGTTTTTTTTTCTAATCTTTCTTTCTCTTTTTCCGCATCGTGTACGGTCGGTGCGATTTAAGAGAGCAGGCAATAACGATTTCGACATTTCGAATAAATTCGTCGCTTTCATCGCGAAACTCGTTCCGCGATTTAAAAAAGCGAACCAAGCTTCTTTCTTCCTCTCGGCGGGAACGCAAGCTGCACGAGCCATTGTTTTTCAGGACGGCACGATAGAATTCGAAGAGTTCATAAGGGCACTCTCGGTGACGTCGCGCGGAAACTTGGACGAGAAACTTCACTGTGAGTAAACCTTGACGCTTTTGCTTCTGACAAGTTTAGGAATATAAATAGTGGAAAGTTCGGAACGAAGCGGGTATATTTTCAAAGTCTTGGAACGACGCGTAGATGGAAAAACTAAGGGACACGTCGTCAGTTTCTTTGCCCGTTGTAAAATCGTATCAGAGAACGTTCCAAGTTTCTCTCGAGTCGGTGCACGAAATAACGCGACCGTTGCGAAAGAAGAGGATCAGAGGTTCAAGTTCTGCCTTTCATTTTCAGGGGCGTTTCGGCTCTACGACGTGGATAACGACGGTTTCATCACGAGGGAGGAGATGTACAATATCGTCGACGCGATGTACGAGATGGTGGTAAGTACGCCACTTTCCACGAGTGGAAAAAATTGTAAACTCGTACTCGGTGAAAGGTGTGAAATCCCGTCAGATTGCGCCGAATCCGTTCGAACATTCGTCCGTCATCGACGCGATGATTTTACCGAGTGTCATCGCCCGATCCGATTTCGGGCCGGTAGTCACGCCACTTAAACGGATCGCTGCTTATTACCGCGATATCTCTAACGACCGGACCTATCGCGCGAATAACGAGGCGCGATCAAAGTTAATTGGATTTCGTAATTATGTCGCAGTGCCTTGTTTATTCGAACATACGTCGAGGATAATTATTCGCCGACGCGTTGCGTTGTACTCGTCAATGGTACACGTATGCCGTGGAATTTCGTGATTCGAACCGACGAGCTAACGATCGTTGCGTTTAAAACGCGGCACGCTCTCGATGCGAGTTTAGCTCGCCGAAAGACATGGCTTTCGAGTTTCCCACGGATCTTCCATCGAGTTCGAATAACGTTTTTCCATACGCGAGAAGAGAAACGCGTATCGCGGTTAACCGTGCACGAGATCGGTGTGGAAACTCGTAGAAAATCTTGGCCGATCGATGCCCGAATTTCCTCGTCGGAACGACGACGCCGACGCCGACGCCGACGCCGACGTCGGGAAAATTCCAGCCGCTCTACGGATTACGCCGATCGAGAAAGTGGTCGGGTACGCTTGGTCGATTATCGAGCCGGAGATAATCATCCCGCGAGATAATCGTGACGAACACGCGTCGGATACCGCGTACAGCTGTGCGTTCGTCGGCGGATCGATCGACGTTTCGAATCGGTCACGAAGACAGACAGATCCGTTCTTGGAACGCGCGAAACGCGCGAAAGATCCGAGAGTTTCGTATGCTCGACTCGCGTCGCAAAGTCGATCGTCCTAATCGTTAGTCGACAATGGAACGATGACGAGGGAAGCGTCCGCTAGCTACTCGCTAACCGCGGTTATTATTCTTATCGGCGTTATCGAGCTCGCGGCCGGTCATTATTGTCTTTTCGTGTCGATCGTATCTTCAAATTATACGCGGTTTCCGTGCTGTAAGGGCGTGCTTAGGAAAAATGACCGCGTGCAGCGACCCGGTAATTTCCAACCGAATCGCGTCGCGACGCGGCCAACCACGTACCCCTCCGTGTCTCGTCTGACGGAAATATTTTTATCGCTAGTCGCGGGTTAACGACGAAACTGCTCGATTTTTCCCCTCATTACGCATCCATGGAAAACTCGCTGCACGGATAATAAATCGAAATTCTCGATCTCGTCTAAATCGTCGGTTTCTGCTTCGAGTGCGATAAGAAATCGAATTAATATACTCGAGCGAAGAAAAGAAACGACGTAGCGCATACGTATCGTGCTGCGTGGCCATTGTCGAAAGTGGGTCGTGAACTTGAGCGCGCGATATTGGCTGGGAAACAAGGAGAAGCTCGTCGACGAGATAAAATGAAAAAAGAAGAAAGGAAAGAAGAATGGAAAGAGATAATAACGAGATAGAAGGTAAAAAAATAAATTCATAGGGAGTTGCAGGTATGAACCGTGAGATTCGTAAGTTATGTACCTTGAGGAAAAGTTACGCTCGGCGTGACTTCCATTTGCGTTGGAGGAAAAGCTGTGCGCCGATCCTCCGGAGGTCCGTCGTGTTCCCTTCCGTGGAATAGAGTCGCGTTGAAACTGGGACACCGGTGACAAAGAAACATTTTAATCGAATGATTTCTCTTGGCCAACGCGCAATGTCGCGGTAAAGCAGAAATATAAATGGTATACGCAATGGTTGGCGCTTTTCCGCAAAACCGCGTGAAATGCCACCGACTGGTACGTTAACGTAAACGATACACGAAACGTGGCATAGTACTTTTCTTTCTCGAGCCAACGTATCGCCAGATCGCAGATAACTTTCCCCTCGGAATACGTAATACGTGCATTATTGTAAAAACGTTTAATTATACTACGACCGGCGCATGAAAAATTCAGAAGAAAAATTTACGCGATTACAAACCTCGCTGACGTTTTACTAGCAACGCGCACGCCATCCGCTTAGCTATCGTGAGCACGGAACCAAGATTCGAGGTACGTATTTCCTTCCGCCGCGAAGGCATCGATATCGTCTTAAGACCTTTTATGGTTCATCGTTCTATACCTCCGTGGAAGGAAAAGTAGACCGAGCTGTAGACGGTTCGCGTTCCTCTATAGCGCCTACTAGTTCGTTTTTTCCTTCGCAGATATCGGGCTTGAAAATCGACGCGACGTTACGACGATAAACTCGGTGGAAAGTCGAAGGTGGCCCGCGTAACGAGGAGCGATGAACGATATCGTGACGAGAAGCAAAGCCAGCCGACAGATCTGCCCCACGTTAAATTCACCTTTCCCCCGAGCCTTTTATCTAAAAACCTACCGACACGAGAAACTCGAATTAAACGGCCCTCGTGACTTAATCTTTTCCCGATCTTGCGAATGGATGCCCTCCGTTACGCCCCCCAAGTTGCACCGAATAAACGGTACGCTTAGCTTTTAAAAACCTGATTCGTCTTCGTTGTAGAAATATTTCTGTTCGATGTTCAAACGATTCCGATACGCTAGTTTCGCGATATTTCCCCGTAAAATCGTGGTAGAGAGCGTGGATCTCGCCACGTCCTCAACGAGAATGCCGGTGATTCGCTGAACCAATGACACTCACGGGAATAATTTGGGGGTCCGTAACGAGGCTTCGCAGACAGATACACCGTGCCCTATCTCATGGGATAGAAGCCAATTAAGGACTATCCCACGAGGTCTGGCAGCAGGCACGTTACGTGCATCTGTACTACAGGGCTCATAACACCGGTGTGTACGCGCAAGTACACGAAATCACGAACGAGAGTAAATAGGAACGAGTTACCTTGACGCTCGGTATATGTTTCCTTTATGTTTCCCTCGCTTTTTTATGCGAATTATACGAACGATATATTAGAAAAAATATTCCGATAATAAGTAGCTCGGATTGGAATTAAGAAGAGGCGAAGTGGACGATGATCATTGGCTTGCCCGTGGTCGATCCCGTGGATAATTTCTTCCCTACGGTCTTTAATCTTTATCACAAATTTATACGACGTTATAAATTCGTATAACGATGAACGAGAAAATGGGCGAGAAATTCGTGGATGAAGTTGTAGAAACGTAATAAGCCTATTTCTGAACATCGCGTTTGCAGTTTTAACTCCGCTGGAAAGAATGGTCTAGTTTAAACGACAAACACTTTGCAGCACCGTGTTCTGCAACTGTGAATCGACTTGAACGGGGCTATTCTGCGGCGTTGGCCGCGATGCTTATTGTTTGTTCGACGAAGCTGAAATCGATAGCTCACGGGCAACGCGAATCTCTTTGACGGGACTGACGGTTTAACCGACAGCGTGTTTCTGTTTTTCCCAAAGGTCTCTCGGACATCTTTCATTCTTCGACGTTCCCTCCGATACGTATCCATTCTTCGAGATAAATTCGCTTCGGACTCGTGCTGCAATCGCGATCGTTTTTGCTAAAATCACTCGCGGTTAACGCTTCGCGACTATTCGCGAGAATAGGGTTCGCGTTAGAACAGAGTCCACGAGAGGAGGGTATCTATCGACGAGTATTGGACGACCGAAGGGCTAATAGACGGAACGCATGCTGTTTCAGGGACAACAGCCGCAGGCGGAGGACGAGAATACGCCGCAGAAGAGGGTAGACAAGATCTTCGATCAAATGGACAAAAACCACGACGACAAGCTAACCCTGGAAGAGTTCCGGGAGGGTAGCAAGGCCGACCCCAGGATCGTGCAGGCGTTGTCGTTAGGCGGCGAGTAACGGCAGGCCCCGTCGCGACCGGACGATTCCTCGATCGTCCAAAGACGAACGATCACACCGTCGCCTCGGTCCGGTCGTCGAAACGGATAGAGAGAGAATTCGATCCCTCGAAGAGATAAGAGAAATGGGCTATCTTGAGGTGACTCCCGATAACCATGCAGACCGGCGTACACGCATACGTAGGTACATGATACGAATCGACATGACGCGAACCTCTTTCACTCTCCTTTCTCTCTATCTATCTATCTTCTCTTCTCTTTCTCCGTTTCTTTCTCCTCGCGGAGACCGTTTCTTTCTCTTTGCACGAATCGTTGAGAAAATTGCGCGATAGCGACGATAGAAACGTAGAAGTCTCGAGCGTAGTGGCTTGATCGACGATTTTCTAGATCTTTGTATTCCACCGATCTCTCTCTCCACTTTCCGTGTACGAACGACAACAGGGACGAGTCGCGAGATCGCGTCCTCGAGAGATCAAGTATAGCGCGAGATTCGACGTTACGATGATACTTGGACAAAACTGCCGACAAGTGCTCGACGAAATCTCGAACGGAAACTAGTTCCGTCACGGATACGTCGTTCTCGCTGCATAAGCTAAGATAAATATAGGAACATGGTTAGCGCTGTCAAGCGTAGCCGAGAACAGACGAGAGATCTCGATTAGTCGGAAAAAAGAACGGGTGACACGGTAGCGCCGACACTCTGCCGAATAGGTTACGCTCTTGCGTCAAATAAATCGTATTCGTCAATTTTCCGTCGACTCGAGTCGTTTCGCGTAGTACTTTTTCCCAAAATATCGTATCTCGCATAGAACAGAATGTTACAAAGAATCGCGACACAGAGATTTGGAATATCGAAAATTTTGACAACGATCGCTCGAATTTGCATTCGCCTTCGAGATGAAAAGTTAAACGGCAAATATGCTGGTATCTAGCGAGGAACTTAACGTCGGCTCGACGTATATCGGTGAAAAGGGAGCGGAGGTACGGCGAGGAAAGAGACCAGGCAGGAAAGGATTAAAATAAGAGGGAAATGGAAAGGCGAAGCGTCGTCGCAAAGAAAAAGGCAGAGGAACACATGGATCGAAAATAATCGGAAAGGCGATTTTTTGCGTCTTCTCTGCCTCGGTGGCGGTAAAGGCAGATTTTATCGGCGTTCGCGAGACGAAAGTTCACGAGATGGGAAAAACGCATTGGCGGAAGCGTGGAAAGAATGGGAGGCGATATAGCCGTCTAGCGGAATCGCCTGATATTTTCAACGAAGACTGCAACACTACCGTCGAGGGCATTCTTCGCACGTAGAATTTCGGAGAGAAGCGAGGAAGGAAACGTTTCAGCGGAAGCATTACTCGCGGAATTACATTTTTCTTCAAACTATTACGTATTTACGCGTATACGTTGGGAATCCGTGTCTCGTTAAAGTATCAGTCGATCGAGTTACGTCTGGAGCAAGTTCCGGTTGCCAGACGAGGAAAGCCCATGAAAGATTCAGGAAAAATACGGACCGCGGTCGAATATCGCGAAAAGGAAGAACGGCGAAAGAACGGACCGGCGGAGAATTTACTTCGGTTTTATCTCCGAGCTGGATTCTTCTCGGGTCGTCCTCTTTCAACGTGCGTCGTTCTTTTTCATCGCCATCGCCTCCACTTTTTCTCCCTCGCGCGTCCGCCCGGTCGTAGCGTGGACCGTAATAGCGTCGCGTCGTCTGCAACGTGTACGAGCGCGACGGAAACGGATGAAAAGTTAATTTAGCGCGGGCGTGATCCAAAATTTACCGTCCACCGGTAAGCGAGGAACGTATTTCTTCGAGAATTCGCGAGAATCGACGAAAAGTCGAGGAGAATAGACGAGGGTAATATCGGTGCCTGTGAAGCGAGCAGACGTTTGAAAAAGTTGCCGATCACGGGAATATACTCTCAGAGTTTTTTCGCTCTTTGCATTTTCCGTCGAGGTCGTTCCTCGTTTCAGCGACAACAAAGCGATCGGAAAGAGCAATCGCGGAAAGAGACATCGCCAAAGAGTTTGCCTTCCGATTCAAACGAATCTTTGCCTCCCTTTGCGAGCAAGAATTTAGAATCGTTGGGACACTTTGGTGGAGAAAAGGAAGCTGCGCCTAACTCGAATCGCGCGTTATCGCGTAGTCTCGTGATCGATTGGGAAAATAACCGCGGCGACCGGGGTAAACGTGGAATTCGCTGCTCCCGAGTCAATTAATTCGCCAATGCCGCAAACCAGAAGCATCGGAACGCGATTAAAAAGATGCGATTGGACGAACATGACACGCGTGACACACACAACACGCGCTGCCACCGGATGAAACGCGATGAAACGCGACGAAACGCGACGAAACGCGACGAAACGCGATGAAACGCGATGAAACGCGACGAAACGCGACGAAACGCGATGAAACGCGATGAAACGAAGTTTGAGCACGCGGCTCGTTAACGCGCGCATCCCTTGTCGAGGGTTCGTTACAGTTGCGCGCATTTTCGCGCCGCCTACTCTCACCCTCGGACATCGCTCACCACCTCACCGATTTCAACGTCCTTTACCAGCTTCGTTTTCACCTTCCACGTATTCCTTCCTTTCAAATTCCTCCGACTGCCGTTTATTTCTTTCGAGAAACGCAATTTTTACACCGCCACATTTTGCTCGCTTCCTATCGAATCGACGATCAACCGCGTTTTCCTCTATCCAAAGGTTAATTAAACGAGAAATTCTGTCGTATCATCGAAGAAAAGATATTCCGCTGTTAGGATCGTATTTGCCACTCCCAGTCACCATTTTCTTTGTCCACACCGGTTCACCTGATTCCGCAATTAATACACTTTGGCTTTATTCGCAAGGAAGAAATCGAAATGGCGTTTTCTCGCGCGGTATACCGGTATGTTCGCGGCACATCGATCTACCCGAAGTAAAAATGTATAGCAAAGTAAACGACGTGGATACTTTGTTTGCGAGCCATTTTTCGCTTCCCCGTGGTATTTTTCCATTAATAAACCAACTTACGCAACAACGCCGCGCGTGAATTTCTTCGAGCAATCGCGTTTATTTCTGGCGCCGATTTGCATAAACTCGTGCCCTCGACCTTCTCGTTTATTCCAGTAAAATTCTTACGAGTCCGAACGCGTTCCGCATAGGTTACATATTCTAGAAGCATCGAAACTCGTTCGCGCGTTTTTTCTCATTCGTCTGATTTACGATAATCGTTTTCCGAAGCGTTGCACGTTTCACCGATCGTGGTTATAGGTTGCAGCCTTTATCAGCGATGAACGAAAACGCGGCGGTTCCTTTGCGCGAAACTTTCTCAAGATCCGAGCAAGTACCGAAATGACTTTTCGCGTTCGATCTAACGAGTGCTCGGGTCGGAGAACTTTCCACTCCGAATCCAACTTTTTCCCAACTTTACGCTGCCTACGCGGCTTCTTCGTTTACGCGAATATTCCCTTGGTGGATCGTTTACGCTATTACGTAAACTATATCGTCATCGTCGCCGTCGTGACCGACGCCGTACCATCGTCGCCGTCTTGACGCTGGTATAACTATATAACCGGGCGCAAAAATTATACGACGGCACGAGCACCTCCGTGCGCGCCCACGGGATTAGGGTCGTTCGGAAAGTTCGGAGACAAACAGCTCGGACAAATAAATCGAAGGGAATGCTCTCAGGCCTAATTCGTTCCACTTATTTTCCTCGTTCGATCATCCGATCGGCCTACTTTCGCCGAATTAACCTTACACCGTTCCGACATTCCATTCCGCGAGAAATTCCCTTTCCGAAAACACGACAAATTAACCGTACAATTTGCCGATCTTGCAACTTTAATCGGACAAACGACGCAAAATTCGCGCGATATCCGTAGCGTACGATTGGTCCCCGTCAAACTGCGTCCATCGCGTTGTATTTGTATCCACGCTATCCGCCGTTCGAGTCCAGCAAATATTTAGCGACCAAACCCCCCGTTCGCGCGAACAGGCACGCGCCACCTCTCTGCAATTCCCGATGTCACCTCCGCCAGATGGCCAATGCAAAATCCCCCGATATTGGCAAACTTCCCATTCTTCTTTCTTTGTCATCGTCTTTGAAAAAATTCAGCAGCTCCGAGTTCGCGAATATCTCGCCGGAATTACGCCAATTAGCATTCGATGCGCTTCTCTTTCTCCTCTAATCCTCGCGACAAAATTTGCCCAACATCTGGCTATATTTCGAAAGAAGGTGAAAGCGAAGCATCGGAGATTAAAAATCGTTTCGATTCGCGCGCGTACGACCCAAATCGGAGAAGAAACGTTTCCGCGGTATTGGAACGAGGAGACATAATGCCGTTTTCGTGTCAATGGTCTTACGTAAATTTCAGCGCAGCGATGTAAAAGCGGCCGGGTATAAGTAGAGGATAAACAGTTGCGACGGGAAAACGCGTGTTTACCGAGGAAAATCGACGATCCTTCGAAATCTATGCTCGACACGCCGAGAATATTTCCCTTTGCCTTCTCGTCGCTTTCGTGCAGTTCACGGATCCTCGATCGACGGGAATTTAGCTACCGCAGTCCTACGTTTCTTCTTCTACTTTGCCTTTTCTTCGTTTCTTCCGTTTCTCGAAGATCAACCGTCTCTCTTTCTCGCCAGTTTTGTCACTAGTTATCCGCGATGGAAAGAGCGACGAAACAGGTGGAAAATATTTGGCGACACCTAGAAGGTTTGACGTGTCACTTGTTGCGTCCGATAATGTAATTCGTGTCCGCTAAAAGTTCGATACGGAAGACATTTTTTGCCCGTTTTTTCTAGTCGTCGAGCGATTTCCAGCTACGACAGCACGTTCGGAAGAATTAAAAGAAAACAGAAGAAGGTAGCTTTCCGAGAGAAACGATTGCAGCGATGAAACGTCTCGTTTGTCGTTCGTACGCCAAAGTTGTTCTTATTAGAACGTAAACTTTTCATCTACCTTGCGATCCGTAGCGGGAAAGAAACTTTAAGCGATCTTAGGTAGGATTAGCGTTTTACTCTAGTTCCTTGGAAATCACGCGAATTTCTGCGCTATACCGTTCGATTGTACGGCGCAGAAAAATAAAGATTTTTAACGAAAACGCGTAGACGTAGAATGTGGATTCGCGCGTGCGACAAAGGTAACGACACGTTATACCTGTATGCGTGCTACGTTCGGCAACTCGTCGGACACGCTTTTCGAATGGAAACACCATCGATATTAATCGCGAAATATCTCGAGATGTCACGAAATTTCCAACGAATCGCGACGCGTTCTCTGGAAAAACCGAACGGACGATCGGAGGGAACGCTTCGACGAACGCGAGTGAACGAAAGTTGTCGATGACTCGTCGAACGTTGTCAAACAGTAGCAATAATCGAAGAACATTGTTCTAGCACGGTTGATAGAAGATTTTTAAGCGGCCGGATGAATTTAAAAAATCGTCGAATCCCTCGTACGAAGCGACTCTGTGGGATCGCGGCAAGTGGTGAGATGTAACACACACGGCAGGTGGCCGCGTACCGGGCCGATCGCGAATCCACGACGATATTGCGAGACTTGTTCTTCCACGAACAGTGCTTCGGCAAACTTTGCGTTACTCGATTAACTCTCGAGCAGGCGGAAGCTCTTCGAAAGAACCATCGAGAGACAAGCTTTATTCGGGGGTAACGACTCCGGGTTAATCGATCGTCGATTCATTCGTCCATCGATTCGCTGCCTGGCTAACCTGTACAACCTCGGTTTATCGTGAACCCTGTAAAACGTTTATTCGCATAGTTGAACAAACTATGACGAACGCGATTCTTTCGTTCTCGGAATATCGTCGTTGCTCGCATCGACCAGACGTCGAGCACCTATCTATCTTATCGGAGATTCTTAACCTTCTCGACGTCGATCTCGACATCTGTATACTTCAACGGCCCCTCGATTTAATTGACATTTCATCGTTCACATCGTTTCGATTATTCGTACGATTCTGAGAATAATTTCACTTCTCGAGCACCATTTTCGATTCTCTTCGCTTCGCTTTCTCGATTAAAAGTTCAACCGCGATATACACGCGTGGATGCCAAGTGCGAAAATCCGCTTGACGCAGCACGAAGAGACAAGCAACGGATTCGAGGGTAAGAATCGCCGATTCACCAGGACATTTGCCGATAATTCGGTGTCGATCGTCGAAGCCGCGACTACCACGGACGATGTGCATCGGAGAAGCGGCTCGAGACCGATCGATCGACACAAATCGGATTAAACTATTCATTCGTATATCAGCAAATCACGAACTAAGAGTTGACTTAATTAAGTAATTTTTACATTTTCAAGCGGAATTATAACGGTAAGAAAAGGATTTTCGCTTAGCTCAGATTTCTAGCTGCTTTCCGTGTAAAATTCTCGTAGTGATGCTTTGTCGGGCTACAGTCTCCTCTCTTTGACTCGCTAATGATACGAGACAAGGTAACTGGACTTAAGAGGGGGTGAAGAGGCAGGGGAAGAGAGAGAGAGAGAGAGAGAGAGAGAGAGAGAGAGAAAGAAGGTACGAGAAGGCGATAGGAAAAAAGAGGAAGAAAATACGTGCATACGAGCACC